AATATATGAAGATTTGAAGTTTTCTAAATAGAGTAGTTAAAACCTTGAGTTTCCACTTGATGGGAAATACCCATATTTTGAAATGGCATTCTTCCACATTAAGACATTAGCGCATCAGCATTTTCCATGTAGCAGAAACTGTGAAAAGTTGTACTTGGTAAAAATTCAGATGTTCAAAATCTGTGAGATAAATGAGATAGAGTATTTCTGGACCTTGGAAGAAATTCTCTGGCTGTTTCAATACCTATTTCTATAGTAAGGAATCTGGAAGACCTAGGGCTCAGCGTTCAAGGGCTGTCTTCTGAATCCTGGGACACTAGAAACCTTGACTTCCAAGCACATGAATTCATATGAATACTGGGAATTTTCCAGAATTTTGTAAGAGAAGTTTATCAAAATTGTCATATATTGACCTATATTATTCCATAGTTTCATATACTGTCACCATTTACAGTGTAGGACCTTCCATCAGTACAAGACACGACAAACCTCTACTAGGTATGTTTTTTTCTCTCTCTTGATGTGCCCAGTGGAAAATGAGTTATATGCGTTAAAAATAAAGACAACACACAGCTGTGCTGTGAGTTGCTTAGAGAAGTTGAAGTCAAAGGAAGTCCACCTCACATTTGGAACGGGAGAAGGGGAGGTCTCACTTTCTCTGAGGCTTGATTCCAGGTTCCCCTCAACCCAAGAAAGATGTCTTGCACTGAAGTCCTGAGGCTCAGGGAATTGGAAGGAACCTGTTGGGTCGTGTCATTAACCCTCCTGCTATTGCAGGAAACCAGAGCACTGAAATCCTTTTCAGAACTTGATCTACCTTCACAACAGAAAGAAATTTGGTTTCTCTTTATCCAGAGCATCATATTTTTCCTGTTCTGTGCCACTCAGCTTCCACTAGCAAACTTAAGTGTCTTCAGGAGCTTGTTAAACTTCTTCAAAGGCCGTGCCACCATTCCTTGTTACCCAGGTGAGGGACTCTCAAGCCTCCCTCTGGAAGACTCTAGTATCTCCCCCTGCATTTCCCAAACTTTTAAAACTGTAGCTACTAAATGCCTGTGAAGCATAACTCTCCACATGGCTATCCCTTAACTTACCGTAGGAACAGTTTTGTATTGGCTTCAAGGGCACCATGGATCAAATTATGCACTTACAGGAAAAGCAGAAGAGGGCTGGTTAGAAGCCTTATATATGAGATAATCATGATGGTGGAATAAACCCACAGCTGATCTACACTGAACAATATCCAAAACGCTAAGCCACAACAGGCTTTCCAAAAAGACAGTTTTATTTCAGTGTTATAAACCTCATATCCCAAAATGTCTCTGTCCTGGAAGAAGACCAGCCTGAAGAATGGAATATCTTTCATTGACAGCAAATGGTACAGCAGCTAGTGATTGAATCACGTTGGCCAATAATGATGACATCTCTTTCTCATATCCCTTGAGAAAGATTTCTCATCTTACAGAATCTCTTTTGTATCTTCTGCAGTGGACATTTGATCTTTAAGCTTCTGAGCTTGTCTCATAAACACTTTGAAGCAATCCATATCTTCTAGGCTTTGCGTATTGCAGACACCAGAAGAGGTAAAAGGTGTCATCTCTGTGTACGCTGGTGCTGTTACCTTCAGAAGGTCTTCCATGTTTGAGTCTGTGCTCTGTTGGCTTCTAGAGCCATGCTAAACCTCACATTTCACATAAATAAATGTGAAAATCTCATCTGGAGTAGCATAAAATCTCATCTGGAGTAAAATTTTCTGTGGCTGATGCACATTTAGTTGTAGATGTCACCGGGTCACTATTCTGTTTGGGGGATATATTTTTGTAAGTGATAATCTACTGCTTTGCCTCTGACACATACTTTCCTTCCAGCTGAATCTTTACCATGAGGCTAACAACTTGAAAGAGATTTCTGTGTAGGAGTACAACTACTCCTTTTTTCTTTTTCCCAGTAGGAGCTGAACTAAAGAAAATGTCACCCACTTGTTCCCATTTAAGTTTCATACACTCTGGGTCATTCAGATAAGTATAAACTGTTACTGAACATCTGAGTGTCTTTGTATCAGATTTTGTCTTTTCAACTTTTGTGTTTCATCTTGAAATATTTTATATCAATTCCACTTAACTAAATGATGGTTTGAAAGAAGATGTAGCTTTCTTGTTTTTAACTGATTTTTTAATCTTCTTATTCTACTTTGCAATATATAGATAAATGACCCTGAAAAAAAAATGAAAAGAATCTACTAAAGAACACCAGCTGGGAAACAGTCCTACCAGATACCATGCTCAGCCCCTGCTAAGCAGAGGGACCTGTGTGGAATGTGCATGTTGACATTCAACACCTATTTGCCTTGAGATACTGCATTGCTTGTACCCAGAGCCCCTGGTGGTATACTTGGTTTCTCTTGGCCTTTTCTCTGCTAATGAAATGTATTTCTTGATCACTGCTGTTTCCCAATTTTTCTTGGCAAGGTGCCTGGTTACTGCAGAATCTGCATGAGCCAGGATGTCCTCTTCTTCTCTCCTGCTGGGCTGGTGAAGCACATATAATTGCTGTGATTCCTTCAGCTTGGTAATGGGACACTCAGCAGCTGGCAGCCTACACCTTTTCCTCTCCCCTCCTCACTCCAGGGCAAGCTGGAGATTGAAAGGCCTTTGTCTTTTTGGAAAGCCTGTTGCGGCTTAGTGTTTTGGATATTGTTCAATGTAGATCAGCTGTGGTTTTATTCCACCATCATGATTATCTCATATATAAAGCTTCTAACCAGCCCTTTTCTGCTTTTCCTGTAAGTGCATAATTTGATCCATGGTGCCCTTGAAGCCAATACAACAGCTTCCCTGGCATCCCTGGGTGTTGGATTGGATCGTAGGTGCAGTATTTCTAACACTGCAAAATCTATCCATGCATTGCTTCTCACAACAATCTCCAGTTTCTGCTGAGAGACGTGTTATGATACTGTCATAGTTTAATCCCAGTCAGCAACTAAGCACCCCGCAGCCACTTGATCATTCTCCCCCAGTGGGAATGGGGAGAGAATCAGAAGAGTAAAAATGAGAAAACTCACGGGTTGAGATAAAGACATTTTAATAAGTAAAGCAAAAGCCACGTGCACAAGCAAAGCAAAACATGGAGTTCATTCACCACTTCCCATCTGCAGGCGGGTGCTGAGCCATCCCCAGGACAGCTGGGCTCCATCACGTGTAGTGGTGACTTGGGAAGACAGATGCCATCACCTCGAACATTCCCCCTTCCTCCTTCTACCCCCAGCTGTATATGCTGAGCGTGATGTCAGATGGTATGGAATATCCCTTTGGTCAGTTGGGGTTGGCTGTCCCAGCTCTGTCCCCTCCCAACTTCTCGTGCACCCCCAGCCTCCTCACTGGTGGGGTGGGGTGAGGGGCAGAAAAGGCCTTGACTCTGTGTATTCAGGGCTCAGCAGCAACTAAAGCATTCCTGCCTTATCCACACTGTTTCCAGCACAAATCCAAAACAGCCCCATACTGGCTACTGTGAAGAAAATTAACTCTATCCCAGCCAAAACCAGCACAGATACTATGAACCATTATATGTATTGTTACCTTTTCTTGTGAACTGTGTTCAGTGAGGAACATTACTATTCATCAAAGCAATAAGAGTAGCATTAAAAAGAAAGGCACGCATTGTTCATTAACAGAGGAAATGGAGAAAGAGACAACCTTCATCTTTTGAGCTAAACCCAAAAATGTAATGGAAATACATTGGCCTGAACTAACACAGACTTTCTCACTTCTTGTCTACACAGCAGAATGTAGTAGAATCAGCCATCTTTCACTTTAACCAGCGTCTGAAACTATATGCTCCTCTTTTTAGATAAAAAATATCAGTAAACAAGTACATCCATTCACCTTTATAAATTTCACAGAAATGAGACTCCACTATTCCACCCTAGGGGTCAAAGAAAGGTTGAGCCAATGCTAAAGTCTAAATGAACCATCTGTCTTCTTAGTGGCTGTTGCAAACTCTGTCCTTCTCTGCTGACAGGGAAAGTTGCTAAGCTGGGGATAAACGTGGAAAACTGCAAATTATGACTAGCTTCCACTGTCAGGTTTTCATACTCCTACCACAGAAGTTTAGTAAAGACAAGACTTTGTGGCTTACTCTCCGTCAAAGAGACAATCAAGGTTAAAGGATTTAAACATGGTATTTTAAATGTCCAAGTTCACATTACTGTTGAAAAATCCATACACTTTGTCAAACCTTGCCACTCTTGCTGATTCTGGCTTCACTCAGCTTGTTTTGAAGCTTTTCACTTAGCCCCAAGTTCTGTAGCTACAGAGGTGAACCCAAGTCTGGTATTTTGAAGTAAAATATTTTCTTTCTTCCTGCTTTTCTTCAACCCTCCCTCCCTCTTAGGAACAAGGATGTGGGGAGACTTACAATCTCCATTCTATTCACCGTGCCAGTAGCTAGAAAGCACTCACGTAAAACATCTAATTTTGGGTTCCCATAGGACAGCTATTGATACCCCAGGTTTGCTTGGTAGAAAACACGTGTGTAAACTCAGTGGTCCTGGAATTTTACCTCATTCAGATGGTTATTTTTTAACCTTCCCTTTCACCCCCACTTACCACAAAGATAAATTACCAGGTTGACCTAGAAACTGAAAGCAATCGCTTTCACAGCTCAAGACCCCAAAGGGGGATTAACTTGGCCTTCTTTTAAGGAGATTGTAGAAGGGACCAGTTCCTTAGCTGTTATAAATCGTCACATTCCGCTGAAGCCAAAGGAACTATATTTGTGTACAACAACCCAGAAATATATCCACTATTTCTATTATTGTCATGTTTATTCAAATTGTAAGGGTATCGGCATTTTGGTCACAGAGCAGAACTCCACAGAACATGCTGCACACTTTACCTGGAGACCTTAGACACAGATAAAGCTTTGTAAGTTCTGATCTTGTCCTTTTACAGTAGGTATTAGAAACCTTTCAACTAATGCCTTTCCCTCCCTTCTCGTATCAGGCGAAACCCACTCCACTTCCACCTCATCGCAGATGCAATTGCCAAACAGATCCTGGCGACACTGTTTCAGACATGGATGGTCCCTGCTGTGCGCATAGACTTCTATGATGCAGATGAGCTCAAGGTAAAGAAAGACAAATGCAAATGTTTCTCATACAGTTCTGGTTTCATGTCATCCCTTTTTTTATTAATCTCTCTGGATTGGTGACTTCTGGTAGAACTGCTGGCTAAAACTAATTCTAGCCCACATGACTGTAACCCCAGTTGCACTTAACTAGAAGATGCTAAATGGCTAAAAATCAGTCCAGTTTCTCCACGAATGAATAAGATGTTTAGCAGCTTAGAATTTTACCTGCTACCAAGAGGATTCTGGCTGCTCAGGTTGAATTCCATCTGATCACATTATCTTTTGCTAAGGATACTTCTCTCTGGTAGCAATGGTGGAGTCTGAAGTACCTTATTCAATAAGCCCAAGTCTGTTACTGGAAACATTCGACTTCCCTGCATTCCTTAAGCATGGGTGTGTAACACTGTAAGTACACACACTCTGATGAGGTATCAATATTACATTTTGAAATAGCTACATTTTTATCTCGATGCCCTTTCAAAAGGAAAGATCATGAAGAAAGGAGAGTTCCAAGGGAAAAAAAAAATCACTTACTCAAAGCATAAAGTAATTATCTTTTCATAGTTAGAAAGTTTAAATTAGATCACGGAGGCACAGCATTGAGTTTGAGCTGCACGTTTTTTAGCTGTGGAGGTAGAATGAACTATTCATATTTTAGCATTTGGAGTTGGTGGCAGTAATTTGTATGACTTATCAGACTGTTCTGAACAGCACCCTGAAACAAGGAAAAACCAAAATTTAGCAAATTGCTGCGCTAATTAAGGGGTAGATTCAAATCATACCATCTTGTAGAATCTTGAGTACAAAAAGTTGTAGAAAGAGATGGAAAAGGGAAAAAATTCCTTGAGATCCTTGAGAAAAATACTTTATTTCTAGCTGGTTTTATTGTTTTATTGGTCTTTCTGCATGAAGCCATAAGCTGATATTAACTTAATTAGCTAGAGTTCTCCCTTCTGTTCTTTACAGCTTCATAGCAAGGAGGAGGTTTATTCTGGTAAATCTTGTACGTGTCTATATTACATGTGCTTTTCTGCAAATTGTAGGGTTTTACAGTGCTTAATTAGCCTCTCAGCTGGGGAAGACAGACCTCTTAGTGTTTTCCTTCTGGTCATTTGGGTATGGTCCAATCTAGTTAAGTAAATAATAACCAAGAGAGCTTACTTCAGTGATCCCCAACTTGCTGATTTATAGTCAAAGCACTGTGCAGATATGAGGCTACAGAGCAAAGTCTTGTTTTGTCCCTCCCTCTTCACTCAACTTTAATTTTTGATGACCTAAAGCAACACTGGACTGTCTTGCCTGTAACCTGTAGGCTTTAGGTTGGGGACCACTTTCTTACTGGATGCAGCTAGTGATGCACAAATGCATCTTTCTAGGTCTGCCACTCTTGCTCGGAGCTCATCATGCTGCATACTAAGCATTTTCCCTGATTTCAGTAGCCAAAAAACACAGTATAAAGTAGTACTCAGCATAGGTGAATGTGATGGACACTGCCAAAGGACAGCAGAGTTGTAAATGTAAATGGAGTTTTAAGAAGCCAGGTATGATGCTGGCTCATATCCAGAGCATTCTGCAAGTTTTAGAAAAGAAGACAGGGGCACGGAGGAGCTGTTTACAGACAGCTGTGGGAGCTGATCCCGTTTGTTTCCTACATAGCCTCTAGAGAGAATTTAATGATCGTTTTGGGTTCGTGTATTTCACCTGTACTCATGTGAGCTATTTTATGCTGTCCAGTGTTAAGAAAATATAGAGCTGATGCTGGAATGTTTACTAGAAAGTCTGCCTTTCTCTAGAGTGATCTATGAATCCAGTGTTACAGTATATACTACGTTTCAGTTTTAATGACCCTCCATAGTTCTTTTTTAAACCTCTAATCAACACCAATTGCTGACATTTAAAAGAGTTTAGACTGAACAATAGCTTGAGAAATTTTCTGCTTAGCTTTCATCCACCAGTGTTTCATTGTTTCGGAATACATCTGAGCTGATACAGAAAACATTTCATTTCATGTTTGTTTTTTTCCCTTTGGATATGTGTAAGCTTCCAGCCTCTTACTTCTAATGCAGCAGGAGTTGGCATGTTAGTTTAAGCCCTTAAATCCTGGGAAAAGTCCTGCTCCACCTCCTGCTCTTGTTCCTGCTCAAACCGTGGAAGGGAGCACATAACGTTAGATCCTCCATAAAGAGTATGGATGCTTTTTTGTTTTCAAGTAGCTCTTTAGAATTCAGGCAACAGTTTCCACTAGAGTATTAATTTTTTAAAAGGCAGAATATGGAGACTAAGATGTTTCACAACGTTCTTTAACGTACCATGAAGCTCTTAAAATATTTGCTGTTTAACTTAGTGTTAGAGCAACCAGTATTCTGAAGGAAGGTGTCGAAAATAAGTCTCAGCAGTAGGTGTTGTTTTCTGTCAGGTTTTAGAGGAGAGCTGGACACTTCACTGCAGGAAAGGGAAGAGAAGGAACCACTGTTTATCCCAGAATTTCTGGACCCAGCAAACCAACATGCCTACTTTGTCTACTGCTGTGAATTAAGCATGTCAGATGTTCCTTTTAAAATTTAGAGAACTTTTCTTTTTCCTTTTGCAAGGTGACACAGCTGTTTGTGTTCATCCTGTACCACAAAGGATCTATATTCATTCTCTCCCTAGTGGCAGGTGCCACCAAACTAACACCAACCTGCTTGGAAGGGGGATGAAGCACAGGAAAGGTTGACCAGGGAAAGGTCTATCTTTGCTTGAGGCACATGATAGGGGATGGGGTGGAAGAGGAGGATACTTGGCTGTGGACCTGAGACAAGATAACATCATTTCCAGGAAGGGGGTCAGACACTACTGAGATGGGAACTTATGGGATATATTTATTTTAAACAGCTAGTTTAATGATTTTAACAGCCAGTATACCAAGACACTTGTAACCTCCCCCAATATAACCTGGCCTTTCTCCTTATTGTCTTGACAATAACTGCAAGGGAGATCGGTGCTTAAAAGCTCTCCCTCAACTTAGAAGCTGTTCAGATTGTGAACGGTACTGCCAGTGCAGCTCTCTCCCATTAACTAAACTTACTACATGCAGTTAGTAAGCGGCAGTAAGCATCCCTAAAGTGTGGGCAGCTGATAATGGTGCCAGTAATCGAGCCATGCCATAGCTGCAGACTTCACTCTTGTTCTACCCAGTGTGGCCCACACACAGCTCTTCCAAATTTGTGTGGTCACATACGACTGTGACTACAAACTGGAACGTTACTTGGCAATGTAGGTTCACTTTATGTGACCACATTAGTCATGTTACTCAGCTTTGGTCCTAATGCAGTAGATGTAGCTATTACAGCAATGCAGCCCACAAAATAACTGGAAACTGAAGATTGTCTTCTTTGAACATTAAATAAAAGAAAAAAACATACTTCTGAAACATTGATCTGAAAGACCTATTACCGCTGCGTCTTGCAAATATCAGGCTGCAGGATATTGTGTTTTTTTCAGTTCAGTCTTATATGAAGAAACTCCAGAGCTAACCAGTGAAGATGTGCAACACAAGCATGTAGCTTCTACACTTCGTTATTCAACATGGAATCTCATGTCAGTGCACTCACAAGGAAGTATAGGCATTAAACCCACTGCGATCTGCATTGGCCCAGAGCAGAAGGAGCTGCTGATAAAGCAGCACCATATGTGTGATATGTGGAATACAGATGAGGTGAGTTTGTTTTCCCAGATGTTGCCTGGCAGACTGCTGACAACGTCAGGTGAACTGAGGGAAGCAGAAGGTAGAATAAGCAGTTGGCTGCGCTGCTGTGTGTAAATCCTGATGGCCCAGATAAGCATAGTCTCTTCATCACTGGTAAAGCAGAAAAGCCATGTCCTTTAAATAGTTCAGCCCACAAATGTGCTGCAATTGATCCGTGAACTTGAAGGTAGGGATGGTGAACAGGTTTTTGCAGTAGATGAGCATTTGACCTGAAAGTGAAATGTGAAAAGCTCCATACTTCACTGCATATATGGCCAATATTCCAGCATTTACTGTTCCCAGAAACAATAGACCACAAATCTCACTACCAGTGCTGCCTGAGGTGATTTCATATCGGAAATGTTGATGTTGTCTGCACACTCAGTCAAAATCAGTGATGAGATCCAGAGAACAAAACCAGCCTGGCTTAATGAGTGGCATAAATATTGCCTAACTTTAGGCATTTACTTAAGCATGAGATGAATCACTTCTTAGACACTTCCATCTGAACTGGGAAGGCAGATCACTAGGTCAGACGTTGACATCATTTGGTCAGATAGGTGGGCAAGGGTTATGAGAGTAAAGCAGAAAAATAAAGTTTAATTCTTTAATTATAATTGCAGCGTAGCCAGGCCTCAGGTCCGTGCCTGTCTGCTCTCCCAGTGCATTTAAGTTACTAATTCCCAGAGTCCAGGAACTCCCAGGCTAGTCGTCTGTGCAGATAAAGGGCTGGTCTGAGACAGCAGACCAAGTTGAAAGTAGGTGATTGACTGAACTGCTGGCCATCTGCACAAGAGGTATCTGACAGACTGTTACAAGAGGTGTCCCAGTGGGAATTTCAGACAGTTCTTGAGATTTCCCAGGTGGTCCCTGCTGTGTCTAGACCATTTTGTATGTTTAAATGTATTGATTAACAGCCTGGGTGGAGAATCTGGTTGTTGTGGAGAATCTGGTTGTCCTGGAGATTCCCAGACAGTTCCTGCTGCAAAGTTAATCAGTTGTACAAGGGTAAGAGAATTGATAGAAACAGTTCTTACACGTGTAGAAATGATCATGTAGGACAGTCTTTTGTACCTACTTATGATAGTTATGAAGTGGTTTGTGTGTAGGTTAAGGTAATGTACAGTGGTGGATGGCGCATGTCTTGCAATAGTCATGTAGGACCACAGGCCAGCTGGATTATTAAAATTGGACAGTTTTAGGAAGTCTCACCCAATCCAACTAAGATGCCCTTTCAAGGACCCTTACCATGGAGACTCCCTTCACCACC